CGCAGCCCCCAGGGGCAGCGCTAGGAGACCAACCCGGCAGCACCCCAGTTGCTCTGCTCCCGGCTTCCCTGATTCAGCTGCTGGGCAGTTTCAGCAGCGGCTGAATCGGGGAAGCAGGGCGCAGAGCGGCTCCAATTGTCCGGCTGCCCCGAGCACTTCCAGGTTCCCGATGGTGCTGGACCATCAGAAGTGCCGGATCATTGGATGCTGGACCAATGGAGTTTTACTGTACTGTGGTATCCAAACACAAACACTACTACCTGTTCCCTGCAAATCAAAATTCACATGCAGTGTAAGAATGTCTGATTCTTTCTTGCTCTGCACAAGTGCAATGTTAGTATAAAACACCGCCAAATCAAAATGGAGCATTCTTCACTGGGGTAAGTGATTACATGAGATTCAATACAAATAAAACTCAGGCCCCAAACATATGCTACACATTACTATTGCCTTACCTGATGGAGGTGCTGAGTACGAGGGGTTTGTGTCGCCATAATGCCCATAAAGAGGCGAAGAAGTGGGTGCACCAAAGCCTGTAGAAAAACCTCCAATACCCGGTTGGGATTGGGAATAGGGAGGCGTGGCAACATAACCTTGTTGACTCATTCCAATACTATTCTCATTCCAAATGGGAGTCTTCCTGATGAGCCTGTAAAGGAAAGATTTCCATCAACTCCAACTTATAGCATCCTACAAGACTCTCATTTGTGTTACTAAAAGGGATGAAATGGACTCCTCGACACAACCGCAACCTGGAAGTCAAGAGAACAAATTTGTTCCCATCTCTTCCACAGCCTGACTGTGTGAATTTGAACAAGTCACTTAGTTTATCTGGACATAGTCACTTGGTCCTCTGGAAAAAAGATGACAGAGTTAGGATTTGTTTTTTGGGGACCGATCTCAGTGGGAGAAAATGCCTTAAAGGATTCTATTTGGAAGGAGACAGAACAGGCTTCATTTGCTCCCCCAAAAGACAGACTGTGGGTTCACTTCCCAAACACCACGGATGCCACAGGATACATAAGAAGGGTAAGAAAGACAGAACCAGAAAGTGGTAGAACCACTCCAATGACTACCCTTCCTAACCCAATACATCCCCTGCACCAATGGTGTCTTGCAGAAGAGGAGGGAGGCATAGAGCCAACTGTCCAGCGAGCCTCCTGAACCAGTCACATTCCCATCCAAGTAGTGAGGGAAGAGTCAAGTCCCTTTCATGCTTATTTAGCTGAGGCAAAGAGCCTACCACACAGAGGTGAATTCATCTCTATAATTATGTAAATCCTGAAGCTCGCCCATTTGCATTATCACCACATCTCAGGCTTTGACCCGTTTTCAGATTTGAGCAGAAGAAAAAGTTATTCACGGCCCTTGCTGCAGCCATTTTTAGTACTCCAAGAGAAGGTGGCAGGTAAGTCAATCACCAGTTGTTTCACTTATCTGACAGGGCCTTTCTACCCCAATTGCTCAGTCTGACTCCCTGCTACCCAGCTTTGCTCCTCACAGACTTCCCAGCCAACCTCTGGTCACAGCAAGGCAGGATGGACAGTGAGGCATGGGAGGCTCAGAGAACACAATTACAGGGTACAAGAGACCTGCTTCCTAACCCACCCCAGGTTCATATTCACACCTGGTGGTGGCTTGCACTGGCTCTCTCCAATTAGCCTTTAAAGCCCCCAGCCAGCCAACCAACTACCTTTATCTTTCTGCTTTTTTACTCCCTGGCAAACTCAAATTTGTTTTCCATTGATTGCCCAGGCCTGACAAACCTGTTCAACGTCACCACAACATGGATCCTTCTAGTAAATGCGTAAGTGTTTCAACAGACAAAAAACTGCCTCCCCTTCCAGGGTACTGCCAGCATCTAGCCACAGAGCTACTATAGCTACCACTCTTGCCTTCTCCTGCTCCCCTTTTACTAGTGCTTTATTTGAGGAGAAACAAAAGCCAACACACACGTGACTTCAGTCTTCAAACCTTCTGATGCCAGGAATTTTATTTCATTGTGTTTTAAGACTGGATCTCGCCTGTCCTAGCTCTTTGGGTATCTGTTTACAGGAAGGTCTTATTTACAAGCATACTTAACAGTGCTTTTCCCCTGGGTAGGGCTAACCATTAAAGATGAGTATTATCAACTTTTACATATACGGCAGTAATGAGCTCGACTGCCACATTTCATGGCAATACAGGTTGAACCTCCCAAATCAGGAATACTCTGGTCCGGCAATATACGCAGTCCAGCAGGACCACAAATGTCGCTGGACCAAAGAGCCCCAGAGGCTGGGAGTGGGAGCCAGCCAGGAGAACACAGGACTGGGGAGCCCCGGCTGAAGGCCCCGATGCCAGCAGGACCAGGTGGTGGCCAGGAAGTCTCTGCCCTGGTCGAGGAATCTCCGGCATCACTGGGGCTACATGGTAGCTGGGAAATCCCAGCTAACCTCCAGTAGCAGCAGGGCCAAAATGGCCATTTGCCCCCAGCTCAGGAATCCCCGGTGACAGCAGGGCCAGGAAGGAGTCCAGAAATCTTGGCCAGGGAACCCCAGGGAATTTCCTGGCGGCAACAGAGATAGCTTCAGTCGGGTGGCCCCAGGCTGGGGAACCCCAGGGAATCTCTGGCAGTGGCAGGTCCGGCAGCAGTCAGGTAGTCCTGGCTAGGAACCTCAGATGGAAGTGGTGGGCAGCAGTGCAGGGACCCCCAACCGGACCACTGCTAGTGGATCTAAGCAGCAGGGTAGGGAGCCCCAGCCTTGGGAGCAAGGCAGGCATAAGGGGTGTATTGACCTCCCCAGGCTCATCTCCACTCAGGTCCTGAGGGCGCTGGACCAGGGAGGTGCAAACTGTACTTTGCATTTACATGGAACCTTTCATTATGATAAATGAAAATGTTTTACTGACATTAAAATGATTTACTTGCCCAGCTTTGCTAGGTCATTATCTTTATCCCTTTTTGCATAGTGAAGAAATCAAACCAGAAAGATCAAAGTCAAAATTTGAACAAAAAAGTTAACTGATTTTTGGTAACCAATAAGCGACTGATTGTTCAGAGACACTGAGCATTCAAAGCTCCAGGGGAAATCAGGAAGTACTCATCACTTCTCGACAGGGCCTTAAGTTGTGCACACATCAAATAATAATAATAATAATAAAAAAAAGGTGGCACCTCAAATTAGTGGACATTCCTGGAAAATGTTGCCTAAGTGTCCTTCCAATTTAGACAAGAAATCAGTGACTGAAAAGGGAACACGTCCCAAAGCTCTTTACACCCAGTCCTCCAGAGCTAACCACAGTTTCATACATAAAACTCCCTAATTGTTTATATATTTTTGTTGACTGATAAGCAACTGCAAACAAATAAGATGATAGAGCTGTCATTTGTTTTTACTTACTAGGGTAAGGCTTGGAAAAAGAGAAAGCCTAGAGGGTGCTTTGTTACTGCCAGCAGAGAGAGACGTGGCAACATGAGCTTTGGTCACTCTCACATAGATTTACCTAACAGTCAGCACTAAAGCACAGTACGTAAGGAGGGAAAGATGTTCACTCTGAGGATGTTTCAGTAGCCTTTTTAGACAGTATCCAGGGGAAACGACTTCCTCCACTTCTCAACCACAGAAAGAAAAAAAAAAAACAACCTGCCACGTCAAACTTCCCACACGTATTAAAAACAGAGATTGTGTGTAAGAAGGAGAGGGACTCTCAAACACACATAATGCCAGCTCCTATATTCTACTTCACATTATCATAATAAAGACCCCCTCATCCAGAGATATACATACAGAACACATAGTGAAGCCTGTTCCAAGCCACTACCTCCCTCCCAAACCCACACACTCCCTAACACCACTTAATTCAAATGATATTACCAGTCAGCTACCTTGCAATCCCGCAGTTAAGTTCATTCAGTATAACTGCTGTGCCCATACAGAATTCCACTGAAATCAATGTGGCTCTGCAAAAGCACAAAGACCAATCCACAAAGGTGAAGTTGTAAGATCAGGGATGTGTAAATATAACATAAAACACCCTCACACCAATGCAAGGGAATTGGTTATTATTTTCATGATTTAAGTGCTAGTGGTGTTTGATGTTGTAAAAAGCATAAAGCTAGAGAGGGTCTCTGTCCCTAGCATCTTAAAAACTAACTTAGATAATTAAATGCTAAAATTGTACTATACCCCTCCCAAGAAAGCTGTCCAAGCTAAAAGCCTTGAAGATAGCATGTATGTAAAAATCTATTTAATTAGAGTTGATTCATCTTGTAAGGAGTTGTGGAAGGGTACATTTAAAATTCCCTCCTAATTTATTAAGACTGCAAACATTTATTATTTCAATATAACAAATACTATTACAACACAGTACTATTGTAACACTACAGCAATGCCATTCTTCTTCATCATCTCATTACTATACTGTGTATAGAATGCACCTTCCTGCTTCCCCTTAATAGTGCTGAGTATGAGACACACTCCTCCCCCACCTGAGTTATGCATGTATACACACATACATACATACACACACACGCACACACACACACACACACCTCAACATGGGCTCCCCCCTAGTTTTGTGCCTATAAGGTGCATGCTCCCCTGATGGCACTACTACCCAATCCCATGTACATCCCATCCCTCTCCAGCACACCTCTCACTCTGGGATGTGTGTATAAGATGCATTCCACTGCTGCTCCCCAATTCTGTGCATACATCATGCAAGTATGCCCAACTCTGTATGTATAGAACAACTCCCAGCACTATACATATATAGGATGAACGCCTCTCCCAGGTCTCCAGTGCTGTATAAACCTTGTGCACCCCGTGTATATTTATTATATTAAATGTACTATTCCATTCCCTCCCCAACTTTCCAGTGAAGCTTATATAAGTCGCACCTCCGGCTGTCCTCCAATGATGTGTATATAGGCTGCACTACCAAATCCCCACAGCTGTGCATTCAGGGTGCCCCCTCTCGCCGCACCCCTCAAGCTGTACACATGGGTAGTGCACCACCCTGCAGGCCCCCCACCAGCGCTGTGCATACAGGGCGGCCCGGCCCCGCTGCCCCTTCCCAGGCAGTAGATAGGAGTCGCACCTCCGGCTGTCCTCCAATGATGTGTATATAGGCTGCACTACCAAATCCCCACAGCTGTGCATTCAGGGTGCCCCCTCTCGCCGCACCCCTCAAGCTGTACACATGGGTAGTGCACCACCCTGCAGGCCCCCCACCAGCGCTGTGCATACAGGGCGGCCCGGCCCCGCTGCCCCTTCCCAGGCAGTAGATAGGATGCACTCCCCGCTAGCGGTGCGTGCCGGCCGGCCGCGCACCCTGCTCCCCACGGCTGCCCCGGGTTGCCATTACCTGCGCGCGGCGTGCAGCCCCCCGCCCCCGTGGTG